TTGAGAGGGATGCATGGATGGCTGAAGCGTCCTAGATGGTTCTGAAACATGACATTCCCTTCTCTGCAGATCACTGCTATGGGAGTTAGAGTCTGCAGAGTCATGAGAATGGCTAGCTCCAGGCTTGCTTGTGCCAGTGATAAGAGGCTGCATGAGTTCAGAAAGAAAACTGGGATGGGTATGCAAATTGTTACAGCACACACACACCAATGTCAGGAAGCTGCCTGTGTCCGGGGCCAGTTTGCCAGTCTGAGCATCATGTCTGCTCTTGGAAAATTTAGAGAAGGTTCAGGCAAGAAGGGTTTCAAGGGCTGAAAAAATATAGTCTGCAACATAGCCTCTTCCAAACATTTCTCTTTATTTCTTTGATAAAAGAAGCTTGAAAGTGCTAAACAACAGTCAACAAACACATAGCCTGAATAAGTAAAAAGAAATTAAAATGGAATAATTGTTGTTTTGTTGTATTTTATAAAGACAGCATGGTCTGGGTATAGATGCAGCTTACACATATGCACTCAGGTTTACATTGTGGGTTGATTATTGTAGCTCATGTATATTTAAGTCAGTTGATTTGTCTCATTTGGAGCTTAGTTCCCAACCTCACACAAGATCTTGAACTTAACACTATTTATTCTAGAATTCAAGATATTAGATGAAAGCAGTAAAGGTTAGAGGACCTGGGCTCTAGCCTTAATTCCATTACTGTGTCACTGTGATTCAAGAAAATTACTTGAACTCTCGGAGCTCTCATTACCTGATCAGTAAAATGGAGACTGTAGGACTTCCCTGCTCATGAGGGTGTAGCCTGAAGGGGGTTTGCTTGCCATGGAGCCTGACACGGAACTCTCCTCTAGCTTCCCTACTACATTCTTTCTGCAACAAAACCCTAGGCCCACATGGTAGAGGCAGGGAGCAGTCAATCCAGATTTATCGTGCTTTTTTTTTTGTGCTGGAACCCAGGTAGATAGAAGAATCTTCATATATAAGATTCTATGTAATCTTCCCAGCCATCCTGAGAACAGGGGTTGGTGTCCCCATTTTACACGTAAGACAACTGAGGCTGGGAGTTGGAGCAGCTTGCCTTTGCTGTCTCACGTGTAAAATGGGGACATCAACACCTGGCAGGGAAAAGAGCAACTGGGATTCAAACCCTGCCTTCCTTCCACCAAAATACAAGCTCCTTCCTGACTGTCATGCTGCTGCTGTCATTTCTAAAAATTAAAACAAACAATGAGAGTAAAGTTGGGGGACAGGTTCAGATTCTCAGACTCTTACAGCTCTGCAGATTCAGCAGGGTGTGTCTTGAGAGTCTCAAGAAGTTCTCTTGGAAATTTTTGATAAAATGTAACTAGTAATGGCATATAACCTCTTTAGTAAAGTAGGGTAATAATAGTTTTTTTTATTTTTTATTCTAGAGACAGAATTTTGCTCTGTTGCCCAGGCTGGACTCATTAAACTCTTGGGCTCAAGTGATCCTCCCACCTCAGCCCCTGAGTCGCTGGGGCTACACGCCTGTCTCTTAATCAAAATTCTTGATGAAAATTCGTATGTGAAAATATGAGCAGAATGAGTGGCTAAAGAAACTGAGAAATATCCAGAAGCCAAGATGGGTTTCTGGTCAGCAATTTGAATGTTCCCTGAATTGAGTAATCCAGGGGAAAACTGCTCTTTAAAAAAGTACTTTGTTGTGTGTGACTTTTAATGAGATAATAATTCAGAACAGAATTAAAAGTTACACATTTGTTAGTAGACTTTTTAAGAGAACAAAAGGGCCATGGCTCGTATTGAAACAGGGATCGGATTTGTGACCCGGTGCCTCTTTCCGTGAAAGGTCTTTGACCATCCAGGGATGGACATTATTTCAGCATTCACTTCACATTTTAACATGTCTTACATGTGAAAAGCTTACAGGCATTTTGATGCCTAAATTATAAATGCCCTTTGTTATAGAAAGCAACCAGCATTGAAGCCCTAAGGATATTAGGTAAGAAAATGTCAGATGATACTGCTCCAAATTCCCCTTGCTAGTAGTTCTACTAATTAATACAGTTAAGATCCCAGTGCTGTGTTTTTTATGGCTACTAAAGGAAATGATTTTTGGCACCCACAAGCTCCTTGGCTGTTTCTAAATGCCGCCAGAGCTAAGGGGATATTTGTTTACTCTTTGTCAGGGTGTTTACATGCCCTGGCTTGGGCCATGAGCGAAAATGTATTTGATGATCTCCTGGTCTCACCCCAGTCCCTAATGGATGTTTGTCTAAATGACAGCACCCAGTTTAGCACTGTTAACACTCCAGTTAGTAGGCGGGAGAGTGTGGGCTGTGTGTGACAGTCAGGGGCATGGATGACAGGGTCAGGAACCTTCTCTGAAGGAAACACTTCCTCCTCCAGGATCCAGTTCTGGAAGCACCTTTGTGTTTTCTCTGTCTCCTACTGCCTTAATTTAGGAGTCAGACCATAAATATTCATTGAATCAGAGAATCTCACAACTTCATTATTACTCCTCTAAATACAGTGCTGGACTTTCTCTAAGGAGCCCAGATCTCTCAGCCTTGACAAGGACAAGCTTACAACAATTGGATAGTGCCATCCAGGAGAGGGACGGTGGGCTGCCGTCTGGGGTCAGTTCATATTATGCAAAACATCCCTTTGTAGGTTTGATCATGAGCTTGATTCACATAGCCAGCCACTTTCCAGATACGTGGCTTCCATAGAGTAGTTAGCAAAATGCACACGCATTTCCTTTTTGTTCACCATTGTCCCAAGCACTGTATGTGAATGTGTTGGACGCAGTGGGGCCTTTCAGGAAACAGCAGGACAATGCTAGGCAGAGCATGACAGGTCTTTAGAGGGACATGCCTGCTCTAACCCAGGCCCACAAGCAGACGACGGACTGAAAGGGGGAGCCATGAATTGAGCGTTGACAGCGGGCCACGGCGGTCCGAAGGCTCAGGTGGTTGTCAGCCATAAGTTTAGCTCAGCTCTTTGAGTAATTTGTCACGCCTCGCTCAGCCCCTGCTGGGCCAGCACGTGCCAGCTTAGTGTCAGAGTGCCTGTTCGCCAGACGGCCACTCAGGCCTAACGTCCTGCTGTTCCCCGGACCAGCGGCTTGCTGGGGCCATGCACGGAGGGCCGAGCCATGGCGACAGCCAAGTGCTGTGCAGAATAAGTGTGTTCATAATGAGACGTGAATGGCATTAGTGGGTCCCTCTAGAATTGGGCCTGAGCAGGCGCCTCTCGCTGAGGAAGTTTGGCAGCCTGTTCATTAAGGCGAGTCACCAGGAGTTCAGCCCACAGTCGAGAAGCCAGTTCAGGCTCATGCTGCCCAGGCCTTGGGCGGTTGTGCCCATCTATATAAAAGATCATAAATCATTAGAGGGGCCACTTTGGAAATCTTCAAACTTATTTTCCTTGCTTGAGGTTGCATAGAGCAAGCTTATGGAGAAATTCTGGCAGCACGCTGTCCAGTAGTGCTTTCCACGGTGACAGGCATGTCCTATATCTGTGCAATCCAGTATAGAACCCCTAGCCACATGTGGCTATTGAGTGCTTAAAATATATCTAGGTGGGGCGGGGGGCGGTGGGGGGCAAAGCAACTGAATTGTAGCTTTTTATTTTAATTAATTCAGATTTCCAATAAGATAGCCTGTATGGCTACTGTATGGGATACTACTGGCTACTGTATGGGATAGCACAGCCCTAGAATGCCTCTGGTCTCCTCATGGTATGAAAATTATCCTCTGAAGGAGTAGGGAGAGGAAGAGCCTGCGTTTAGAGATCGGTGTGCACCCTTTGCCATAAGAAAGTAGAAAAGTATTTGGCCATTTAAAAACACATGCTGTCTTGAAAGCTGATTGAAAGGGCATAATTGTCACCAACTTGTATTTTTAAAGAGGCCGTTTTGAAAAGATAGTTTGAAAATGTAGTGAGAAATGCTAGAGTTACATTTCTTCTTCTGGAGCTGCAAATAATAAACTGATGGTGATCCACATTCCCTGTGTTCCTGGAGAATTAGCATGATTTTCAAAACGACTGAAACATGTCTTTTAACTTTTGCATTGATAATGAGGAAGGGGAAAATGAGACGTCATGCGGACTTCCCCAAGTGTTAATTCATAACGTCGTATGTGCAGTGCCTCCATCCGTTGTCGGATTGTTCTGACGTTATCCTGTTATTGGAAGTGCATGATTCACCTTCTGAGGAAACAGAAGCCACACACAAAAGGGGAAGATTTGCTTTTTGCCCTGTGAAAGCCTGCCACACGCAGGGGTCCTATTAAGACAGCTGGAAAGTTGCTTCAGTGTGTTACGCTTGTAAGTTTTATTGGTGACTGGTTTTTGATTACACATTTGGATGCTGTGTGTTCCAGAGTGCAGTTTTAATTAAAAGGCAGTAGTCTTTTTTTAAAAAATCGCACTGTACACTCTTGATAGATTCTCTCACATAGTAGTTCTTATTTTCCAATGTTCACAGCTTGTCTTGGTTAGAGGCTCTGATGCCCCCTCAAAGTATATCTTCCTAGCCTTCTCTCTTCCCAGTAACTTGCATCTTCTTATTTTTAAGAAGCGTCTGCACTGTTGTAGTACCAAGTTGCTTGAAGTATCAACTCATGTCAATAGGCTAAGAATGTTTTATCCACTGAAATAGGACGTAAAAGATCTACCATTGTCAGTGGAAAGAGATGCCGTTGCAATCAGTGTCTGCTGTTTTTGTTTAAATCAACCCTAATGATCTTATGATGTTATTCTGTAACTGTTGCCTTACATGTTTTTTAGTATTACTAGTATTAAATGCAATTAAAGTCTAAGAGAAACTTAGGTCTGAAAACCAGAATTTTGGTATGAATTATGACTAATATTTAATTTTCTGCAAGATGGTAAAGAACCTGCAGGATACTTTTTTACACAGAAAAAAATGCACAACAGTATTAAAAGTGAATTCTGTCACTGCTCTGCATGCCACTTTGCACACGCACTTTTTCCTTAACCGGTTACCGCAGCTATGAAGAGCGAGCTCTGTATCTCGAAGCAATAATTCAGAACCACCGCGAAGTCATGACATTCGAGGATTTCGCAGCCCAAGTCTTTTCTCCCTCTCCCAGCTACTCCCTCAGCGGAACGGGTGAGTGTCTACATTATTCTTCTCTCACGCGCTTAAGACGCATTCAAGCAGCAGATGTACACCTGTTTTTCACAGATAAATGCTTGCAAATTTAAGAAGAGCATTCTCCCTCTGAATCAACTAATGAATATCAAAAGGAATGATGACATTCATTTTAATTTGTTTTGTATTCGAGCTGTTCACTCAGTTCCTTTCTTCAGCTATCCTGTTAACCTTCAAATCTAGCAAGGTTAATGAACTTTTTCTCAGTAATGTGCTCCGGTTCATTCAGGAGTGTGGGTTTCTTGCTGAGCTGGGAATATGTTGTTTAAAAGCGATGCCCGAATCAGTGCTTACTTATCAAAAAAGAGTTCCTCACAGTGGAAGCCGTTGCTACTAATGCTAAATGGGGATTATGCTGCCGAGATACGAGGGTCAGGGATTAATGCAGGAGACATGGAAGGACAGTGTCCCGGGGTCCATCATTACAGCAATGCAGTGTGCGTGTGTCTCTCTGGAGTGGTCTATGTCATGTGGACAAGCCGCCGACCGGAGCAGCACCTGGTGTGGAACCCGTTTAGAAACTAGCTTAGAATAATTTTCATTTATTAGGGCCAGTGGAAAATTGTGAAAGTTTCCATAGATTTCCTTGTTTTTAGGTTTTTATTCTTTTTCTATTTCCAGCTTGGGGGGAAAAGTACACGTACCGCCACTTAAACAGATTATATGATTACTGTGTGTTTCTTTCAAATAATAGAATTATTACTTGTAAATTTCTGCATATAATTACAGATTAATTGCCTTTCAGAGAGTAAATGGGATATTTAGCCAATGCATGTTGAAATTCTCAGTGAGGAGCTTCCTTCTTCCACTGCTTTAGATGCAACTGTTAGAGTGCTTAATAGATTTCTAACCTGTGTCAATTGTCTCTGAACACTGCCTTACTTCTCCTATTCTGATTCGTTAACAAATATCTTATACACAAAGTGAAAAAAAATTAAATCCAGTGAAATAAATCACTTACAAATAAAATCAGCCATGCATCATTGTTTAACATCGCTGGCCTCAATCCTCGCCTCTCCGAGCTTTGTTGGGAGATAAGAGGGAGAGGCACGCACTTGCGCAGGGAGCCAGGAGCAGCAGGCAGAAGGCTTGGGAGATAAGCAGGCTGGCAGAGGTGCAGGAGCAGCGCAATTTGCATAATCACGCCTCTGCTTCCTGGTGAGGCGTCAGGGAACACTGGGATGGCCTCTATTGATCTTTGTTGAACTGGAATACTAAGCAACATGAGAAAAGCTTATAACTTAAAGCTTTGATTAATGTTTCTTACATTAAAAAAGTGGAACAGCTGTGAATTGAATTCTTTTATACACTCTGCCAACATTCTATCTAAGACAAAAAAAAATTCGTTTCAAGGGAAATGAAGATTTCATACTCAGTCTGGCTAGAGATTTTAAATTGTTTCTAATTTTTCAGTGCAAGAACATGAGGGATCTGTAGCAAAGCTAATTTTAAAAAGATCTCATTCAGCTTTTTCCCACCCTCATGAGATTATTCCCCTCTTTGTGAGGACTTGATTTTTCAGTGCAGGTTGTTTTTTGTTTTTTGTTTTTTTGTTCTAGGAGCAATTCGAGTTTTTAAGAACTCTACTTGGAGAGGATTGTCAATGGGCTTCTTCAAGAATGTCATATTTTTGAAAATTGCTTACCAGAATAAAGATTCTGACAGCATGTGAGGGTGGACATTGGAACTTTTCTAAAAGGAATGTGAAACCAAACATGGAATATCAAGACAAATGCTACTCCCTCCACTTTTCAAATTATTAACATCAGTATTACATTTCATAGTGTTCATGGTTTAAGGTATTCAGTGTTGAGTGGGAAAATTTTTTATATGTCTATCATACCTATCCTTAAGTGTGATTTTTAAGTCTAGGCATAATGTTCTGTTTTAATTCTTTGCATATCTCCTCATAATGCTGAGCAGGAAGGAAGTAGATACAATCTTGATTTGAACTGAAATGTGGGGCAGTACAATGAGGACGGAGCATTTCAGCACCATAGACAAGCACGTTTTCAGAAGCATCTTCTCATTTACATACTGGCTTCGCTTTTGAAGAATCCCTGTCCACTATCTGTTACTACTTCTACAGATGAAAACATTTGTCATTTGTTTACACTGTTATGTTCTTGGGACAAGTGCGATCAGACCCAGATGAGCCAGCCAGCTTAAACTAAGAAATTGAGGTGAAGTCTGTTCTTCCAAGCAACAAGCCAACTGGAAAAATTGACCCTGAGCGGCTTAAGCTCCCACAGTGCACTTAGGACCCAATCAGACCATCTCTGGCCCTCAGTGTCATCAAAGCAGGGCCTTGGGCTTGGGCTCACATGCATATGCACAATCTGAGGAATTAGGGGCTCCTAGGTTTTCTTTGTATCCTCACCACAAGGGGCTTTATTATTAATGAAGAGGGAGCGTCACCTGAACACCGCATTCATTCCACACTGTATTGGTAGCAGCAAGCCAGAAAGCAGCATGCAGCCCCCACTTCTAGAGGGAAAGCCCCAATATCAGCCTTTAAGTCTGAAGTGAAAGTGGGAGATGTGCTCAGTGGGAGTGGCCTGTGCCTGAAGGTTCCACTGTTGGAAAATGCCCTCTGCCTCTGACTTCCCCCATCCAGGTGCCATTACCCATCCGCCCAACAAGCCCTGTGGGGACGGGGTTGGCCAGGTGAACAGACTTCCGTTCAGGATGTGCTGTCAACCACACATGGTGATGTAGCTGCTAATATATGAGTGCTCAGCTTTTTTCAAAGAGCTTTCAAAACAAAATCTATTTTCCTAATCAGAAAATATTTTTAAAGACCATCATGTCTACCTTGTATCTATTCCATCCATTACTTGTATTGATAACACCTGACATGTAAAGATATTTCAACTACTTTTTTACCCAGCACTGTAGTTTACCTTCCTTTTTTGACCAGCAATAAATATAAATAATCTAAAAGGTAGCTAGTGTTAAAATATTGGTTGCAGTTAACATATATATGTTTTATGTATAAATACATTTATATACACATGTACATTTCTCTCTCTCTCACACACACACACATATTGAAGTGGGGGACTAAATTTGTGTTTTCAATCATATCACCAAGAAAGAGGAACCAGCAGAGAGGCCTTGAAAGGGTTAACTGGAATGGGCACCCTCGACTGCTGGGAGGGACTGATGTAATCACTGCAGCTCACAGCCAAGTGCATCTGTTCACCATGAGGTCATTCTTCTGCATGCTAATGATTTGGAAAATCAAGTCTAGTGTTTGACATTATCAGAAAAGATATAAATAGTGTAAATCTTTACTTTTTGGAAGTTGCTCTTATAAAAGAGAAAAAAGGAACTTTACATTGGACCTGAGATTTTTTTTCAGAACTGCCTTAAAGATTGTGTCTGGATCTAAAAATCTTGGAGGAATCCACTTGTGTCTGCTGATAAATCAATCCCCAGATCACTATTACAGTCACAGCTAGCAATCTGGTAGCCAAGGGCTACAGGTATGTCTCATTTCATATCTAATTTTAAGAATTTCCAAGTGCCTTTGTCCGAAGTCGATAAAGATAGATTTTTCCCAAAGAATGTTCAAAACCAAGTTAAATGAGTGGTTCTTCTCAGAATACCCAAACTGACTTGTGTTTACTGAAGATGCCAATACTACGTATGGTTCCTTTCTCCTTCAATATTGCTATAGAGAGCCAGCAGAGGGAGCACAGATCTTTGTTTATTTGTTAGCCCTGCATAAACACAGCATTTGATTTCTCCAAGATACAGTCAGAAATACTTCCTCCTTTATGATAGGCTGGATTGTAAAGGCTCCAGGATTTAGAACAAGTGGGAGAAAATTCCTCACTATGCTTCATCAGAGTCTGCCACTTTTAATGTAGGTCGTATTTGGAGCTTAAACCAGATTAGTCTGAGTCGGTCTTAGGATGCCACTGCCATTCCTGCTATTGCACAAAACTGCAAACTTTTATCTTTCACACAATTGCTTGGACGCCCTCGTGGAAAGGGTTATTTATGCCACTTACCTAATGAAAAAGACTTTTGTAGCTTTTCTTCTACAACACGGTCATTATGTTAAGTTTGCAGAACCTTTACCAGAAGACTCTGCCTGGTGTCACTGAGTCATTTTGTTGGGCAGTAAAATCTTCTCCTAAAACTGCAGATGGAGGCACTTACGTTACACATTTGCCTCAAAGCATATCTATGATGTAGACACTACACAAACTCCTCTTAGAACTTACCAGCCTTTGCCCAGAGAGATACGGCTACACCCAGCTTTTGCTTGGTAAGGCCTCCGCACCATATGCAGTCTTGTCATTCTGCATGCAGTCCTGACAGGTAATCTTCCTTGGCTCTTTCACCAAGCAGTTAATAATCAGGTTAACTCCTAGAAACAGCACCAGTAAATCCTAACCCAAACCCCAAAAAAGAGTTTCCCCACTCATTGAAAGGATAGTCATGTGACAGACTCGTTACATTTGTATTCATTCTCTCCCTGTTAAAGTGCTCTTAATACGGTTTTAATCAATAGTACTTCTTTTGAATCGTATGTGTTCAACTTCCCCATAACTTTGCTGAAGCCAGCAAAGAACATCACAGAATGCTGAACTAGAAGGGACTTCAGGAAAGATCATGTCTAACCCGGTCACATTAATTTTGAGCGAGCTGAAGACCAACCCATGAAATGACCACCGAAGGTCATGGGCAAGTTGGAATCAGGGCCAACTCAACCTTCACCTCCCCATTCCCCATGGAAATGCCAGCCCTGTGCCCACACTATAGTGATAATCCCATAATCAGAGCCATAGCTACCAACTCTTTATTAATACTAAAGACCAGAATCGTATTTTACTCTATTCAGATAATCCAGAAGTTTTCCCTTTTGGTCTCACTCTGTCGCCCAGGTCTGGATTGCAGTGGTGTTAGTACAGCCCACTGCATCCTCCCCGTCCCAGGCTCAAGCGCTCCTCTAGCCTCAGCCTCCTGAGTAGCTGGAACTACAGGCATAAGCCATCACATCCAGCTAATTTCTGTATTTCTTATAGAGACAGGGGTTCGCCGTGTTGCCCAGGCTGGTCTTAAACTCCTGGGCTCAAGCCATCTGCCCACCTTGGCCTCCCAAAGTACTAGGATTACAGGCGTGAGCTACTGCACCCGACCGAGAAGTTTTCCTTAAATACAAGTTATCTGATATCACCATCTATTCAATAACTCAGCTATCCCACTCAGCACCCTCAGCACACTTGGCTGTAGCTGGCCAAAGTGTTGCCACACGTCTTACAGACAACTGCCTTGTACAGATGTTTCTTCTACCCCCATAATCCCTTCTGGACACAGCCCAAGTCTTCCTTCCCTCATAACTGGCTTGATTTTGACCACTTTTGCTTTGATTTTTTCCAATTTAAGATGTATTCTTCTTGCAAAGATGGAACAACATTGATAGAAAGTTTTTTTACTAGCTATCATTCCATCACCAAGAGCCAGTGGTGCTCAACTCTGGCTGCACATTGGAATCCCCTGTGAAGCTGTAAAGATACTGATGCTTGAGTCCCTCCACTAGATTTGGATTTATTGGTCTGGGGTGTGGCCTGAGCATGGAATTTTAAAAAAGAAAAAAAAAAAAAAAAAGACTGAGGACATTTTAACATGCAGGCAGGACTGAGAACCACTGCCCTAAATTCTCTCTGTAATATTTAGGTCTTAATTTTAGTGCCATCTAACTTGTGATTATGTATATATTGATTTTCCTTAGCATATATAAGCCTTTATCCTGTGTGTGTGTCTTCTCTCCATAATGGACTGTAAATTCTTTTTTTTTTTTTTTTTTTTTGAGACGGAGTCTCGCTCTGTCACCCAGGGTGGAGTGCAGTGGCCGGATCTCGGCTCACTGCAAGCTCCGCCTCCCGGGTTGACGCCATTCTCCTGCCTCAGCCTCCCGAGTAGCTGGGACTACAGGCGCCGGCCACCTCGCCCGGCTAGTTTTTTGTGTTTTTTTAGTAGAGACGGGGTTTCACCGTGTTAGCCAGGATGATCTCGATCTCCTGACCTTGTGATCCGCCCGTCTCGGCCTCCCAAAGTGCTGGGATTACAGGCTTGAGCCACCGCGCCCGGCCTGGACTGTAAATTCTTTAGAGAATGGTACATGGGATTTCTTTCCTATGTGCAACAGGAGTGAATAGAAAGGAGGACAGAAAGGAATCAGGCTGTTGCTTTAAGCAGAATAGGTGTGTCTGTAGACCGCAGATGTATGGGCCTGATGCAAGATGCAGAGCAAACACTCATAATTATGTTTCATCTGTCCTCTCCTTCCCAGTCTCTTAGTGAAAGTGGGCCACTGACAAGAAATCTGATAAGAAGCCGGTGTGGAGAAAGGCAGGGGAAGTCAGGAGCCGGCGAATCCATAGACGGAGTAACTGAAACTTGATTCAAGGTGCTTTCGTAGATGGTCTCGAGGGTCTTAAAGGGAATTATCGATTACCCTGTTTAGCACCATTTTAGGCTTCGTGCTGCTTCATCCTTTTGTTCCTTTAAAACTTTTTTACTCTCCTCGGAGTCAGCTCTGGAAGAGATGAGACAAGCATTCTTTTCATTTGCTTGGCTAGAAAAGCGCCGCTGCTGCCTGTCAGATGTTACCATCTCTGATGTGGTCCGTGTTGTCCCTGGAGGCTGCCACTGAGCAGGACTGTGCAGGGCACTTCAGGCAACACAAAGTAAAGCTCTGGGAACCTCATGCAGGCCTGTGTCTCTCCTTCCCTTGTGAAGCTTGAAGTCTTATTGGAGAAAAGCAGATACTCATGAGCCACAAGAAATGGCTATTAATAAGCCCAGATAAGTTTCCTCCAAACTATAACCTGTGTCAAAAAGATAACCAGCCAGTGGTTTAGGCCAGTTGGGTTGAGATTTCCCTGAGATGAACCATGCCATTTGCCTTGTGAACTTGAGGAGAATGAAAACTTGCCTCGTGTGTGTTAGCTATTCTACTAAGCATCCTGACAGCCGGTTTGGAACTTCCCCACATTGCCTAATGTCTGAGAACTGGAAGGCCCATGGACAAAAATAAAAAGATAGAGGATAGTAAATGTGAGAAGAGCAGAGAGAAAGAAACCACATGTTTCAGAGCCACTGCGGGGACAGTGACAACTCCTGACAACCCTGGGGCTGATGCTGGGGCTATTCATAGGTTCCCAGAATAAGAAGTGGCCTGAGATCATTCATTTTGAAGTGTCAACCTTGCACTGAATCTGTTCCTTTGGCGGAACTCTGAAGGTGCAGCTTTTTCTGTGAAATGCTGCGTTAGGTTCTGGGTTCCCAATCCTTACAGGGTTTTAAGTGCAGGTGGCATCTTCCTCCTGCCTGACTGCTAATTACAGCTCAGGGGATGCTTTAGCAGTTGCCAAGAGATGGCTGGCAGGTACCAGGAATTTTTCTCAGAGACAATTTTTGGAAATAACTCTTAATTAAAGCTTGTTTGAAATAACCTTGAGAATTTGTTTCAGAAGAACCTGGAGCTCCCGACACCCCAGGTTCACATTCCTTGTGAACCGTGACTGTGGCCCTCAAGTCCTCCTGGCTCAGCAGGTGGTGCATGCACAACCTCAGCTGCTGAGGGGCCTCCTAGAAGACTCTGGTTTTGCTCAAATTCCTGTTCAGCAACAGCCAAACCAAAGCAGAGGCCAAATGGAGCCTCCCTTATTTGCAGTTAAGTCTTCTGACAGAAAGAAGAAAGAATATTTTATACTGTCCTTTTCCAGGAAGCTACAGGATAATAACAGGAACTAAACCTGTCAGTAACACAGGTTTTCTCTATAGAGAAAAGCCAGTTCCTTTTTGCCCGTTAGCCTTGAAAGTCCCTTGAAACAGCCGAAGGAATAAAATCCCTTAAAAATGGAAACATGCCCATCCATTTTGAAATAAATAACTTTATGTATTTACATTGATGTGGCCAAATTCTCAGTACACAAGCAACCTAGTAGCATCACCGTGGACAATGCCGAGAAAGAGTAGGGAAAACCCTGTTTTGTGACCACTTCAAGAATATGAGACAATAGAATCCAGATTCATAGAGGACATGTTCCACCTACCTGTGCCCCCACGCAGAGGCTCCTCTTGCCTTTCCCGCAGCACTCAGCTGTGACCTGTGGTGGGAACCAGTGGCCTTCACCATTCCAGCATCTGTCTTCTCCTGTGTGGGATTGTGTGATCTATGAGATTGCCTGAGGATAAGGAAAAGCAATCACAGGTCTGGCTTGGAAAGGTTCCACTCCCCCATACCCCTAATCTCAGGCAAAACAGGAAGTGCGCACACCTTGCCTTGCCATTGCTGCTGAATGTGTTTGGGCAGACCCTGCAGTCAGCGTGCATCCCAGAGCCCATGCGCTGTCATTAGGGAAGCCCTGCTTCCTAGCTACATCCCTAGGGTGCAGAGAAGCAGCTGGAGAAACAGCGCGACTCCAGTTAGCACCACAGCCTCCAGGTAACATCTGGGCATGCAGCTTTGTGAGGCCAGGCGCTCCGGACCGGGGTGACAGTCGCTGACCCAACAGCATCACACATGAGAGCCCCAGAGGAAATCAGTCACCACGGAGAAGGAAGGAGGAGACCAGAAGTGGAAATCTGCAGCCCGCTAGGCTGACTTTGCTCTTTCTCCCACTTACCCAAAGCTAGCAACTTGCTCGAGGCCAAATTGAGATATTAAACCTCAGGTCCACTCAAGACCTGGGGACACAGAGGGACACACCTTTGCTACAATTTCAGTAGATGCGAACTGCAGCTTCACTCCTCAGAGCGTCTCATAAAGCCCACAAAAGTGGGTTTTCAGACATTCATCCCATAAATGTTTACCAAACACTGAATATGCCAGTTGCAGAGATGGGCAAGACAGACAGCAGCCCTTCCTCCACTGGAGGCTCGCCTTCCAGACTGGCGAGTAGACGATGGTGTCTGCTCTTAGGAGCTGAAGAGTGCTGAGGAGAAAAGACAACAGGGAAAGAGCCTCGGGAATGCTACTGAGAAAAACCCAACACACCTGGGGTGGGGGTGCACTTTAAAATAGGGGGTCAGAGAAGGCCTCCCTGGAAAGGCGGCGTGTGAGAAATGATGAGGAGGGAGGGGCAGGAAAGAGCAGGTGGAAGGGCCTGAGGCAGGGACTTTCCCGGCACAATCAAGGAACAAGGAGCCCAGCCTACTTAGAGCTGAGCAAGCCCGGGTGGGCAGGAGGAACAGGGAGGTCAGAGTGGCCTTGTGGGCAGAGGGCAAGACCTTGGTTCTTGCTCTGGTGAGTTGGGCAGCACACAAAGCCTGTGAAGCAGCAGAGTGCTATGATATGACTCTTCTACAAAGGGCGGTCAGGCTTCAGTGGGGAGGGGGGACAACTTCCATGACAGTTTACTCGCCATGTATTCCCATCTCCAGACACGCAACAGGCATGTCATATGTGTCTGGTGCATGAACGGATGTTATGCTCATACAAGAGGTGTTCTGCCTGAACATTCCCTGGGGGACACTAGAGGGGCCCTCAGCGGTGCCCCCTCACTCCAGCACCACAGAACACAGCCACTATCCTGGATTGCGCAGACAGGCAGAACGTGGAGCTCAGCCACATATCCCACCCTGCCCTCAAGACCCTGCAGACCCCTGTGAGTTCCAGTGCTCATGAGTACAGGTGTGCATGAAGAATCGCGCAGATGGCCACCCCCGCTACACAGAAAGCGACTTCAAGAACCTTTAAACACCTCAGTGACACAGAAGGGCAAGGATGGGAGGCCAAGGCTCCCTAGCTTTTTTTACTCTTACAAAAATGGTCTCCAGGACTCTGTGAACTGTAACCATTCTTTATGTATGTGTAGAGATTTGCAATTTACTGCACGCTTTCCCCAGAGTCCCCCTCCCATGAGGCAAGATTGCTCTGACAGTTGAGGAATGGAGGCAGGCTGGTTTTTCCATCACCAGGTGGCTGTTCATGTCCCGACCATGGCTCGAGCACTTAGGCCTCTTCATTCTCAGACAGGACTCATTGCTCCACCCTACAGCCCCCCTGCGTCTCCGTGTCTGCTGTGGGGGACCCACCCACAGGAATGAACAACCCAGTGGCAGGGAGGAGCCCTTCTTCAGTGGCAGTGGCAAAATGTTCCTCCCTGAAGGCAGAAAGGACTGTTTTCTAGAATGTGTGACCTGTACAGTTTTTACAGTGGCAAAGGCACACCCACTTTGGCACAGAAAACTGAGAAATTTAACTAAAGCGTTGCCTACTTTACAATTCAAAAGGAGCACCACAGAAATAATTCACATATAACAAGTATCTTAATTATGGGCCAAAATTCCTTTCTGAGGACAAGACAATTTTTATCAGTGAAACTACCAGACACGTCCATTGCTTCTGCAGTGTTTCCTCAGACACCTCAGACAAATACCTAGAACTCACTGTCCTCCCACAATTACCATGGATTTAACTGCTACATTTTCTTGAGCTGTTGATTATTAGGGAAATTTTTAAAATATAGTCCTGAGTGGCGCACACACTCCCAGTGTATCTTGGGACAAATCACACGGTAATCCCGCCTCACTGCCGCAGTCACTCCTGAGTTGTTTTAAAACAGATCAATTCAAGTTAGAATAAGCTTGGGAGACAACCTGGAAGGGAAAACAAGTCACTGAAAGCAGTGTGCCATCGGTGGGGTGGCCCTCTTTGCTTTGAGGGTGGTGCGAGGCACAGCAGGAGAGGTGCTGGTGGCATCTGCAGAGCTTCATAGCTGCCTTCGTTCCCCTGCTTGCCTGGGTGCCCCTGGGGGATTTTTTTCCGGAAATCTCTGAGCCATTTCTGTTGTGTCACTTTTGGAATCATGGGAATAGTAGTGCCACCCAGACCACCTTCTATTCTATTTTGCCATTTTAAAAACCAGCTTGTTGAGATCTAATTCACATATCATGCAGTTCAGCCATATGAAGTATACAAGTCAGTGTCTTTGGTCTATTCATTATGTTATGCAACCATTACCACAATCAAATTCTATAACATTTCATCCCCCTTTAAACAGCCTGCCGATAGTCAATCCCCCTTCTCCCCGCCCACCCCTCAACTCTAAACAACCACGAATCCACTTTTTGTGTCTATGGACCTGCCCATTCTGGACATTTCATATAAATAAAATCATCCCATATGTGGTCTTTGGTGGCTGACTTCTTTCTCTTAGCATACTCTTAAGGTGCCTCCATGTGTAGCCCATATCAGTATTCCATTTATTTTTATTGCCAAATATTCCACTGTACGGATAGACCACATTTTGTTGGTCCATTCATCTGTTGATGGACATTTGAGCTGTTTCCACTTTTGGTCACTGTGAATATTGCTGCTGGGAACGTTCGGGTCCTGTGTGGCCATTCACTCATGTGACTTCAGTCTGGTAAAGTACAGACTTCCCGTGGCTAAGATGCAGCGGAAATCTTGGTGCTTATGTTCTGTGAGAGTGAGAGAGGGTCTGGAAACGTTTCTTTATGATGGCCTAACAAGAAAGTTGACACCAAGATATTAATTTTAAATTTTTAATTTAGTTTAATTTAGTAATAGAGCCACACAAGTACATTATAGTCAGGGAAGAGAAAGAAAAAAATGCCAGGAAAATTCTTTTACCAATGATCCACCTGCTCACCTAGCCCCGGCACGGGAGCAGCACGTATACAGGCACACGCTTCACGCACTTTCCCTTCTTCCCTCCCTTCCTGCCGGTTCAGCTGTCCCAGGTTTCGGCTTCTGAACCATGGGTGATGGGCAAGACCAACAACCAGAAAGAGGAAGCCAAACCCAGAGTCAGAGCCAGGGCCAGGACACAGCCACTGCTGCTGGACTGGAAATACTGGAAGCCATCCTTGGGCCATTTGGAGATGTTAATTAGGCTGGCTAATTCCCACTGGCCTTGGGTTGCCAGTGTTGAGTGTGTGGGCTTACCCCATCCACTGCCTGCACCTGTTCCCTTCCTCAGAGCCATTCCAAGGGATCTGAATAGCCCAGACAGCTCTCTGATCTCCCACTCTGTCCGCCTTCCTGCTGGTAGGATATTTAGCACTTGCCTAAAGCTGGAGCCCTAGTCCACTCTTTCTCTCCCTCATCCATGCCAGCTCTCAAAATAATTCTCTTTCCTAATTATCTTGAACCAGCTAATCATTTTCCACACTGACTGTTCAGTAACCAGGATCCAGAGACAGGCAGCCGCGTTTCTTGTCTGACCCTGCCCAGCATCATCCCAGGTGGCAGTTCTGGATGGCAGCCTTTCCTCAGAGGCAAGAAGCTTGGTTCAAAGCCTTGCTCTCTTGCTATCCCAGTGAGTACAGCTGGAGAAAGCATGCCATAGAAAGGCCCACCAATTCCTGGAGCGCCTCTGCTAGGCGGAGCCGCACACAACACAACACATGTCCAGCCAGCCTCTTGTTTCCTGTCCTGCTTTAAATCCCTGTTGATATCCAGAGTATCAGAGAAGTCACACAAGGCGGAAGAAGCAAGACATCTTTCTTCAGAAGTGACTTCTGGATTCCTCCAGCTCAACTCTGCATCTGAGCCGCCAGTTGGCCACAGTTTGGCCTTTTGGTGTCTGAGTTAAACCGTTAAGGGCTGTCCCTGAGGAGTCTTGCTCAACTGCTCTTAGATATGAGTGGGGCTGGCTTCGATTCCCAGCCCCACAAATAGGTAAAAATGACTTCGAATGTAAAACACACATTAACCCTATAACCCAGTGTCACAACTCTTTTTTTTTGGGGGGGGGGAGGAACAGAGTTTTGCTCTGTTGCCCAGAATGTAGTGCAATGGCACCATCTTGGCTTACTGAAACCTCCACCTTCCCAGTTCAAGCAATTCTCCTGCCTCAGCCTCCTAAGTAGCTGGGATTACAGGCGCCCGCCCCCACACCCAGCTGATTTTTTAGTGTTTTTAGTAGAGACAGGGTTTCACCATGTTGGGCAGGCTGGTCTTGAACTCCTGACCTCAGGTGAGCCACCGAGCCCAGCTGTCACAACCTTTTATCCATTATCACCCCACCGTGAAGCCTTCTGAGACATTTTGGTTTCCTAATTAGTCCCCTCCCCTGAAACAGCACAGAAACACCATGTATCTGTTTACTTACAGTACTTATACATACTGTGCTGTACACATATAAAGAGTAGGCTATTTTGCCACCCCAAATTAGACTGCATGCTGTAACTTTTCTCCGAGATCCCCCAAAGGCAGCGGTTTCATCTGCTTTGGTCACCACTGTAACCCAGAGCCGAAAACAGTGCCTGGCACATATCTGCTGCCCATTTGACAAAGGGATAGGACAGTTAGGCTTTGTGTCTCTCCCCTATCCCCGCCAGGCGTCAGGTCCCTCCTGGCCGCTTCCCACCCCCCATCTCCAAGCACATTGCCCTCCAGGTGCCCTCCGCACTGCCCAGGTTGATCAGTGCCCTGTGCGTACCCCAGAGATATATCGAGAAGCTGACAGCTTACTCCTCTGCTCCACGACTGGAACCCCACCCTTTGGGAGCACTGCCGTGTGTCAAGGGCAAGTGACATTTGAGCCCCATGGAATAATCAAGGCAGCCCCCAACTGTCTCTGTCTTTGCGTCTCCTTAACTCAACCATGGATTGGCAGTTACTGAGACATTCTTTGTGGTCCAGCACACCACACCAGGCTGCGTCTGGGGACACACAGGAGAGGGGCAACCCAGTCCTCATCAGCAATTACAAACAAGTCCTCCATTGTTAGCTGCGCCATCTGCTTTCTTGGTTTCTACCAATCGGGTGCCTGTACACACAGCATAACCAGGGCTGAGGGGCTGCAGAGGAGTGAGATCAAGGAGCCCCTTCATAAAGAGACCCTTTGCTCACACTGGAGGGTGTCAGTGGCATGGTGCTCTAAAAGTCGAACTTCCTCAACTCAAGGAAGACCCACGCAGATATGCTCTATGTTTGCCCTCTTCCATGAGAGGAAATGGGGGCCCTACAGCACAGTGCACTGGGGGGAATCAGAAATCTAAACGATTAAATCTTCCAGAGGATCCACGGAAAACATTCTAGTCCGTGACCAACAGTCAGCAGCAGCCCAGAACCTCTTGTGCCCAAAGAGCACAACCAAGTGTGGAGAAGGAACAGCGTTCATGGTGGGTGGGAGTCAGACCAAGGATCATACATGAGCCACGATCAGTTATTGATCCAGAATCTCCTAACCCCAAATAATTTTCTTGGGAGAAAGGGACAGTTTTCATCAATAGATTGGAAAAGATGTCTCCATAGCAGTGCACATTTCTTTCATGGAGCCTTGGCTAAGAGAATGTTAGTGGTCTCCTCCTGATGGCTGCTGGAGCCACCATCTTAGAAGTTTGCCCCTGTCACTGTGCCAACCTTGGCAGAGGGGGTCAGCAGAAAATCCATGTTTACAACTGTGGCTGTGCAGAGAATGGTCCACATCGCTGATGAATGTCCTTTGTCGGGATTTGATGGTTGTCTAGTGACACAGAATTCAGGAGAGTTGTGGGGGCTGAGAGTTCAGGAGAAGCTACTGCCTGATGCAGAAAGAGGATGCATTCACCAAGGAAACCCCGCTGTAGAAAATAGGATGGTGTGAAAGGGGTGGAAGAACCTGTCACAAAGCATAGAAAAGCTAAGATCCCCCTCAGTTCTGGGTGACGGCTGAGACCCTGCTGCTCTGTGGGTGAGAGTGACCTTATGGTCCAATTTTCCTGCTCCAGGGTCCCCTCCCAAGCTTTCCTCTGCACAGGATGCTGTGTGTCCCCTCCCTGAGGACTGTCACATTGCAAGTGACACCAGTATTAACACACTGTGCGTAACTCAGAAACCTGTAAAATGAAACTTGGAGACATGTAAACTTGCCCACCTAGGGGGTTTCAATTATTTTTTCAGGTCATCCATTGAATTTCAAATGCTTGTCTTGAAAACACTTTTATCTTTGTATTTAAAACAAAATCAGTCAGGAAAAGTTGGAGAGCAGGAAAAGGATATAGCTGTCAGTGCGGTTCAGCATCTGTAGGGCTCCTGACAGGGTCTGCATGCATAGACCCTGGGAGTGTTAATGTCTCTCTCATTTCACATTTGCAAACATGACATCGGCTTCTATTTTGTCCTATCAAGTAGCATTTTCAAGTGAGTTTTCAGTTTTTACTGATTGACAAGGCTGCAAAACTGCTTGGGCAGCTCAGGGATAAATGTATTATTAGCACTGTGTTAATGATCAAGTTGGAGCTGTGGGCTGCTGTGTGTGTATTCACTCGATTTTGTGTTCTTTCCCTTCAGATTAAAACACGTAAAGGTCTCATTACAATATTTGAGCAAGGTAAGACAGACACTTCAGTGGATTTGTCCAGCCACCCTGCTATGGGGAGGGGGTGGGACTTTTCTAACCGGCTGCCCTTGGTAGCGGACCCTGTATCGGTGCTCCTCGCCCTCCTGGGCCTTCCCCTCCCGAGCGGCCCTGCCCGCACTCCTGCCCCTGCATGTCTGCGCTGCCCGGGGAAGCCTAGCCTTGCCTTTCTTCTGCTGGTGCACTCGGGGAAGAATCCGACACCAACACCTGCTATCCCGGAAAATGTCTTTGTCACCTACCCTTTTGTGTGTGGGGCTGTAGGGGGCCGGTGGGCACGGGGGCCACCCGCTTTTTTGTTGCCCAGGCCTGGAGGAACAGGGTCTTGAGATGGGCCGATAAGACACAGCATGTGCTGGGCCGGCCTTTGGCCGCCAGCCTTAAAGGAGGCCTCTGAGGCCTCCACGCGGGGAGGGCAGGTTGTAGCAGGGGCTGCTGAATGGAACAGCTGGGGAAGGAAAAGCAGATAAAAGCTGCGGAGTGCAGAGGGTGGAGACCCAGGGATGTGCTGCGGTCTGGGACCCAGAGGATAGGCTAGCCATGGCAGATGTGACCTCCCCAGCCCGCCTTTCTGTCCTGGGTCTGGGGTCCAGGCCCTGCCTGCGGCGCTCTGATGGATGGTAGCTGCCTTGGCAGGGCTGTCTGAAAACCCTGTCCCGTGTGGCCCGGGCTGCACCACCTCCCAGGCTCACAGGTGGAAGGCAAGCAGTTGGTAATGACAAGGATCATGGCAGTGCCCTTCACAGGAGAAAGCAAGTGAGCGAGCTGTCGTTCATGAGCCTGTCACCCACAGTGGAATGCAAAGCACAGAACCAGTCACTTTGTCTCAGTAAATATGGAAGTGGGATGTTAGGGTCCAAATTTGTTGGTTTATCCAAACCTTCACCCTCCTCTGCCAGGCAGGGCTGTTGGACCTGCAGGCCAGAGGAGCAGCCGGCGCCACAGCCAGCCGACCCTCCAGCCAGCTGCCCTTTCTCTTCCCCTCACCCGTGGCTTAAGCCCAGGCCTGGTATTGTCCCAAACTGGGCTCACTTGTGTCCGCCCCAGCAGGTGACACCAGCCTCAGAGCCCAGGTGCTCATGTCAAGATGGGGCAGAAGAGGGCTGTCCGGTCCCCTCTGAGCAGCGCACTTTGCTGCAAAACTTTGCATTTGCTGAGACCCCCGTGTCCATGCATGTTCTGCTCCTGCTGCCAAAGTCGGGAGGTGAGGTTCGAGTGTCCTGTGAATAAATCCATGGCTTCCATCACCGGGAAGAGGCAGTGCGAGTGGAACCACAGCTGCGAGTGGACGTGTCGTATCAGGAAGGCGGCCCTACCTTGTGTCCTGCCTACCCGTCCGGCAGCTGCCACCTCCCCACCACAGGGTGCTGTGGCACGAGGGCTCAATGCAGACGAGGATGTCCCAGTGGAAAGCTGGGGACCAGAGGCATGTGTAGGGCACTGTGGCACTGGCTCCAGCCCAGCTGCAGGAGTGGCTTTGCCCTTTGCCCCGGCCATGGGATCCCTGCTTTCAGGTGCACAGGCCCCCTTCTCTGCAGAGCTTCCTGCACTTCTCCAGGCTCACTCAGCGGGACAAAGCTGGCGTCCCTCTGTCCATCTGCAGGAACTTGTGGTGCACCCTCTTTCCCTCTTTATCTTCCCTGGGTGAGTGGGTGGGGCAGAGGAACTAAAATGTTTTCCTTCAAATCCAGAATTAGCAAAGGTTCGCGTTTTCTCTTTGGATCTCACTTTATATCTTTCATTTACTTGCTTTTTCTTTTTTTTTCTTTTTTTTTTTTTTTTGGTCCTTTATTCTAATCCATCTGATCACCATAGTGGGCTGGGTTGTTGGAATATTGTCTGGGATTAAATCAAGTCTGTTCTCCCACGCTGCCCCACACCCTGGATTAAATGCCAGTGCCCACCACCAGCTACAAGGGGATAGAGAGATGCCTCGTAACAATCCAGCTTCTCTTGTGGATGATGGTCTAGCTGTGCTGCCTTTGTCAGAAGCAGCCTGTTTTTGTGTTCTGGGGTTTTTCTTGTGTGGTGTTTTTTTTGAGACTGGGTCTCACTTTGTCACCTAAGCTGGAGTACAGTGGTGCTATCACTGCAGCCTTGACCTCCCAGGCTCAAAATCCTCTCACCTCAGCCTCCCAAGTAGCTGGGACTACAGGTGTGCACCACCACGCCTGGATACGTTTTGCAGTGTTTTTGTAGAGCTGGGATTTCACTGTGTTTACCAGGCTGGTCTGGAACTCCTGGGCTGAAGCGATCCCCGCGCTGCGCCCGGCTGCAGCCTGTTTTAAAGATGAGAATAGTGGGCCTTCTCTGTTTGCCCGACCTTACCGAGCCGAGAAGAAGGGAGGCAACAGTGAAGCCCCTGGACTCTGAAAGTACTGAATTTCAGAACACCCTGAGCCAGGTTACTGCCATAGGTCCAAGCATGTTTGCAAG